AACGTGGAAACTGTTCCAAATCTAATCTAAGGTTGTGCTTCTCTTACATCAAAGTGTACATCAGGGTGTCCATAATGGACACCCGGCACCTCCTCATTGGAGGGAGTGTTGGTGGGTGTCCATAATGATGTACACTTTGATGTACCTTTAGCATTTTCCTCTAACCTATCCCACCTCTCCCCCAACTCTCCCCCAAATCACCACTCTCCGACGAAGCCACCCATTTTTTAAGACCACCGATTGCCTGCTGCAGGAGTGTATTTTTCTTATACAAAACGTTGCATAAATGTGTGGCTTTCAAGATCGTGCAAATATAGAATACCATGACCTGGAGATTTTAGGTATAAGATGACTGTATTTTCTTTTAAAAATTTAACTTGCTGCAGGAGCAGGACCCTCGGCCTCTACCAAACTTTCTATAAATTTAAGCAATTTATGGTCAGCCAACAAGAGCCGCTACAAAAGGAAAATCACATGTAAATGGCCATACAATAATTCTGCTGAATTGAGTTGCACCGCTCATTCACGCCCTCTCTAATTCCAACCGGTGTATGGATTCCAATTCCATGGCCAAAAACATGGTTGGCTTTTGGGCAGTGATGGATCCAAGATTTTGAATTGGCACGGGCGATCGTTGACCGTCAACCTTTGACAGCAATAAGAGCCCCGTTTGATGTCTATTTTTTGCAAAAAAATGCATTTTAAAATAGTGATTTGATGGAGAATGTGTGATTAAAAATAAGTAAAAGTTTTGGAATTTACATTTAATATTATTTTATTAAAAAATGTGTGGTTGAAAAGAAGAATTAAAAATGTATTTTGAAAAAGGGGGAAATCGAACAAGGTCTAAAATTTACATATAACAATTATTTTGTTCAAACGGAATTTTGTTGTACAAATTAGCAATATTCACCAAATGATATTGTGTCCAAGTTTTGTATAATTCAAAAGAATAGCACGGGTTCAACTTTTTACAATTGCATTAAAACCGCTAAAATGTAACACATATTATTCTGGTAAATTTAGTGTCAAAATTCAACAAGTGCCATAGTGGTTAAGCTTTTAATAATCCGAGAGGTCACATGTTCGAATCCCTTCCTTATAGCATTAATTTTAGTAAAAATTGTAGAACGAAAAATATTTCACAATAAATTAGTTGAGAAGGAATTCAAAATCAAGACTTCCAATATAAATATGCAAGTTCTAACCAGTTGAGCTACAAGAAACGTTTGAATGTAAAATAAATTACCTGTTAGATAACCTAAAAAATTTATCTATTGTCAATAAAAAAACTGTTTCCGGCAGATCCAGCACGCACGACCGTCGGCTCGCCGCTTGCTAGATTACCTGTTAGATAACCTAAAAAATTTATCTGTTGTCACCAAAAAAAAAAAAAATTGTTTCCGGCCGATCCAGCACGCACGACCATCGGGCTCGCTGCATGCTAGATCGGTAGATCCGGCACTGCTTTTGGGTATATCATTCCATTCTTTGAGCTCTTCATAAATTACCACATTTTTAATCAAATCCAACCAATTGGAACCTTAAACTTACGTTTTCGGATACCAGTTTGCTCAAACACTACTGCAAAGTGATTGTCATTAAGATACTGTCGATCTCATCTGACACTGCAATTTCGACGTCACCTTCGACACATCAACTTCAATTATTTTGGCTTTGAAAATTCAAAGGTAACCAGTGACAGACAACGATAAATTATAATTCCAAAATTTTGTTCTCTTTGAGCAAAATTTAAAGTGATAGAAAAAATGGGTTTGGATTACATTTATAGTTTGTTTTCATTCTATTCGATTTATGTTCATGAATGATTTTTGAATTTTGTATATTGAATTGTATCAAATTAATTCCGATATTGATTTGATTTAAAAGGAATGTAGGACCATGAACTCATTGTGTGACAATGAAAAGCTTGATGGGTAAGGTCACGTTCATGAACTCATTGTGTGACACTCATTACGGGATGCCAAACAAAGTCAAAAAATTTCATTTTTAATACCATTTCGAAGTACTCATAACCTAGTTTTTTGCTCATTAATGGCGTGTGAAACGACCAACCGTTAAAGTTACGACGTATCAAAGTAGGCCATTCCAAAGCAGTATTTCGAGAATTTTGATACTCTGCTAACTTTCAAAATTCACCGATGATCGTATAATATAAAGAGACAAAAGAGTTTATGTTGTAGCGTAAAAAGAATTACTCTGTAAATCTATGTTATGACTAAGATGAACTTTAAAAATATAGCCTATAGAAGATACATTGCACCTTGAATGGAATGCACGT